TGACAGCCTTTTGTAGCTAACATGTTTTAAGAAATCGCAATTTATAAGCAAAAAGTCCGTTGTCAGTACATGTTAAGTTTATCTGATCCGGTGTCATTTTTCTTAACATGCAAGTAAATCAATAAAATGCAACAGAAATGATCAAATATATGCTTAATTTAAAAGATTACAAATCATATTACAGATAATATTGAATCTAGGAGTCGTCTTAAAGCAGCTCACACGAACGTGCTAACTATTCTGCGATGTTTTTATTTTCAATTCATTTTCTCTTAGGAACCTGCATCCTAGCTAGTATGCGCCGGTGCTAGATCCGCCTTTGGTTATTGAGCAGATTTTAAAGAATTTCTGTATACCGTATATTCCAACGTAAAACTTTTATCACCAATTATGGTCCCACCCTACCCATGGGGGTCATGATTTGAACAAAATTGAATTTGTTTTTGTTTGTTTGTTGTTTTAATATCCCTCTAGAAAATTTTTCACTCATAAGGAGACATCACCACTTGCCGGTGGAGGGCCAAAAATTTAGACCTATTCTCGGAACTCAGGGCCATTAAGAAGTGTGGGATCTTTTTCGTGCCAGAATCTACAAAATTAAAAGTACACTATGTACTTTCACATAAGTATAATTTCTTCTGATCCAGAAGTTCTTGAGAAGAAAATTTTGAAAGAGTTATTCTTAAATATTCTATTTAAACTTTGATCACCTATTGTAGCCCCACCCTTTCCCAGATATGATCTGAATAAAAATGAATCTACACTTTATAATAAAGCTTTCACATAAGTTTCAACTTTTCTGACACAATGATACTTGAGAAGATTATTTAAAGATGTCACTAAATTTACACTTAACTATTCTTAACTATACTTCCTTGAAAGAGGGCATGACCATTAATTTGAACAAACTTGACTCCCTTTATCCTCGTTTGCTTTCTGGCAAGTTTGGTTGAAATTGAAATTGGCCAGTAGTTCCTGAGAAGAAGCTTAAAATGTAAAAAGGTTACCGATAGACAGAGGGACGACACAAAAATGTGATCAGAAAAGCTCACTAGAGCTATCAGCTCAGGTGAGCTAAAAATGTCAACCCTTACACCAAATGAATTATATCGGCACTCGTATGAGAATTAAGCAAAAAAAATGAATTCCAGATAACATTACTACTGAACAAATAACTTTCAATCTAATATCCATGTATATATAATGAGAAAAAAGAATAGACTGATTTTTCAGATATCTCAAGAACTACGGTATTTTAACATATCATAGTCAAGTTAACCAATACACACAATTTTCTGAGCAACACCATTTCTCCCTACAGTATTGCGAGAAATGCTAAATAAATACAACTTGTTTACTTATTTATCAGCCAAACACTTTGTCTATCCTTGTCTGTCTGTCTCTCTTTCTCTGTGTATGTGTGTCAATCTCTCTCTCTCTTCACGACCTTAGGCTGTCCAAAGTTATTTCTATGTTTAACGTCACCTGCGCGCGTAGGTTTCAGAGAAATTGACACTTTGAAAAAACAAATAAATCCACATTTTATAATGTTTCTGTTCCGGTTTGCTCTTACTTTTAGCACTTAAAAATTACATTGCATAGAGATAGACAATACTTGGGCCCTCTATGAGGTATATTTGAGCTGAGTCTAATCAGTCTATCATTTAAAGATACAGGTTTACTGAAAATGATTAATTAACCAAGAGTCTGTACATGATTACAAATACTTACAGTATTTTAATTCATGTAGATGAGTAACGACTCATTTGTTTGAAAATTCTGTTTGTTTAATTTTTTCCTCCCGCCCTTGTAGGTTTTGAAGTTTATAGGTGACGTTAAACGTAGAATTAATTTCAGCCAGCCTTAGTAAATATCGGCGACAAAATGTGCAAATGTTCACAGTACATATTGTCGCCGACGACAAAACGTGCCCATGCTTGACTGTACATTTTGTCTTTCATTACGTAGGAGGAAGAAAAGGCTCGTCTCGGTACAAATTGTCGCAGGTGACAATATGTACCGATGGACGACGATATGTGCAGTCAGGGTAGGTACATTTTGTCGCCGACGACAATATGAACAAAACGACAATATGTACCGTCACACTCCTCTTTTTGATGGCATGCTTAACAATACCTAAAACAACATAAGATCGTCCTTCGTAATGTATAAAGTACAGTAGCGACAACGGACCGATGACAACGGACTTAATTTTAGTATCCTGTCATGACAACGGACAAAAAATGAAATAAATCAAAATTTTCAGTTTTAATTTGTTCTCATTTTTCTGTAAAGGCTTACAATATGTCTTGATACTGTCTGCACAAATTGGTGTGTATATTATATATTCTATTTACGAAAAAATATAACATTTCAGTAGGAAAATGAATCAAATCCACAAGTGATTTCAACAGGGTTAATGTCGCCAACGCAAACTCTTATTTTATTACTTCTTTTTAACGGCTGAAATTCATACAACACCAAAAAGGGTGTCAGCCCTGTTTCCCATTGCAATTTCATACATTGTTATAGATAATTTAACTTGAAAAATGAAAAACTTCTCACAGTCTGTCTTCTCAAGTTATGACACCGGACAGATTTTATCATAACCTCACCTGTATGTTCATGACAACGAACCAGTTTCAGTGCTTAACTTTAAAGGTTTCTGACAACGGTACTGTCTAGGAACTTACATGTAACGTGTTCCTGGCCGTGATTTAGCAAGCATAAATGTAATTAGAGTCAAGAAAACACATGCATTGAAGTAACTGCTGAATAAATAATTTTTCAAATAAAATATCTTAGTATTGTTCTGAACGATGGGATGAAATTGAATCCGTCTTTGCCCATTACGCAATCAAAGGAACATTCATGGATGAATCGGCAGGTTGTAATATTAATTGTACAGACGAAATAAAATTTCTAGTCGTCTACTTTTAATGCAGGTGAGAAGTACGTAATGAGCCATGAAGATGTGTCATTTCGTACGAGCTGAATGACGGACAGAAGGACGTGTCAGTATTCATTAGTAGCGCTACATTGTTAACCGTTGGATAAGAAGAAGGACAACATGTCAGTATTCATTAGTAGCGTTACATTGTTAACCGTTGGATAAGGGGAAAAAATGCAATTTGCTTGTTAAAAAACTGTTGTGATACATCGTGCCAACTCTTAACATTTTTTATCATTAGCATTTTTAATTGCAAATGCAGGTGCGCTCTTTGGGAAAAAAAAGAATATTCTGTATTTAACATGTAAAGAGAAAGCCGAATGACATTGTTTATTATAATTGGATGAGTAACCACTAACGATTCCGGGTTTAATCAATGTTTTATTTCCTAATTAACAATGATGGAGAAGTAAAAACACTTTTTTTCCTTCCTAGAATTCAGTCAGTTGTAGCACTGCACAGTGCAAAATGATCAAGTGGGTTAGGTTCATTCATAGAAATAGATACAATCAACACAAAATGCTATCACAGATTTTCAGAAAATCTCAGTCGAAACGGTAATACATTTTCAGATTTCTTAAACTTAATCTTGGTTTTTCTTATGCGTTGTTGACCTTCTTGTTTTGCAACATTTGTTTGTCGATGCAAATAATCCGTAGTTACGTAAAAGATGCAGCAAAAAACACGATCTTTACGCAGGTAGTTCAGAAAAAAACTGTTGTCGGTTAAACAGCTAATTAATTATTTAAATAATGTTTTAATACAACATATAACAATGCCGACGAACCAGTTCTCAGTTGGATTATGACAAGACTACCCTATTGTAGACTGTACTTGAAAACATTTTGATTAATTATTTAAGTTACAAGAACGTTTCAATATAGTTTACCCATATTTTTATTCTCGATAAAATAAAGGCCTTCTTTATTGAAAAAAAAGTTGATGACAATTTTATTCATGCATGGTTCCCTCTGAGTATAAGGTAACTTAACTTATATTAACTTGATAAAAGTTTATAAAAAAAAAAAAAAAAAAAAAAAAAAAACTTCATTAGGTTAGTTCCAATGACCAATAGTATAAAGATTGTTTGGCCTGATTTCTCGTAAGCCAAGATCTAAATCTGGTTATATGTAGTAAAAATTTATGATTGGATAGCAATCGCACCAAATTCAAAATAAGTGCAGAATTTCCTCGCGTAAGATGTACAGAGAGCACTTGGGGTGCAGAAACTGACTGTATAGCGCTATGACGCACTGTACATACCAATGAACGGTCACTTAGTGGATTCATTAGGCAGGATCATTAGATTCGCGAACGGCATGTACAAAACAGACCAAAACAGCCATCGTTCAAATACTTTAAAGCATATATAAAATCTTAAGAATGCTAAGCATATTGTAACAATTTCATAACAGATTGAATGGATTTGTCATTCGGTTACGACACTATTTTTGGAAAGACACATATCTACATTGTTTTTGTTTGTATGTTGTTTAACGTCCCTCTCGTGAATTTTTCACTCGTACGGAAACGTGAATTTTTCACTCGTACGGAAACGCCACCACTTGCCGGTGGAGAGCTGCAAATTTTGTCCTATACTCGGCACTTAGGCCATTGAACCCGCGAGGTAAGGATCAACTCCTTACATCGCGACTCCAGAGTTGACGCTCTAACCACTGCGCCACGCGAGCGACTATCTACATTGTAGATGGCTAATCGATAGGGAAAAAAGGGGGTTGTTGGTATTGTATTGCTGATCTGTTTTTTCCCAGCTTAACCTTGTGTAATCCTTAAATTTCTAATTCATCATTAGGCAATAATTAAAGATCCCCACAGATAAGAATTCACACCTCGAAATTGACTGGAAAAAACAAAATAAGATCTTAGAAATTTGAATATAAAATAAACATCTACGGGTTTTTCAACAGGTAGGTAAACTTCTATTTATACACGGGGAAAGTTGCCAGTCTTCATCATTCGACAACGTGACATGAGCATATATAAGACTTTTCCTCGACAAGGTTGTCATCAGTGTTTGGTTACCTGGACAAGCTTAATCATTTCTACGAGTAGTTAAGAAGCGTTTGTTCACTGTGAACTAGTTTTGTGTTGGTTTCAGGATTGTTTATTTATTCACTAATTTTTCTACTACTGAAAGGTGAGAAGATTATGTGATCAATTACATTTCAAAGAATCTAATTAAACGAATTCATATTTTGCATTTGTTAAACTGGACAATTCTGCATTAACCACATGTATCATTCTGCATTATCTAGTTAACACTTGAAAGAGAAAAGCAATTTTTTCTTTGTTTATTGAAATAACTCATTTCAGCAATATTTTTTTTTATTTTCATATGTAATCGAATTAAACAGGACGTTTATGATTAATGGATAAACCAACCGTAATCTTAATTCCAAAAATTCAGGGACATATACTAGACATATACCATTTGAAGCAAGGATGAATAGATTTTTACAGGGAAAATTGATTAAATATAGTATACTTTATAGCAATTTTCCTTCACATGTACATGTAATTATTCAGATTAATAGAAAAGAGTTTAATGTGCTTCTTTTAATAAAGTAATTTTTTGAAAGAAAAAGACAATAACTATTTCTATTTTAAATTTTGACGAAAGACTTAAACTAGTCTCATTAAAGCACTCCTTGCCTCTCTTTGACTTCAGAAGTTCAGTTCTTAATGACATAAAGCATTTAGATATGCATTCAGATTTATACTGAATATCAATTACACTTAATGAATTCAAAATATGCTCATGTTTTATGAAGTAGCACTTGAGAGAACTAGAACTGATTAACGATTGATAGACAGTACAAAGTGACGATAAATGTTTGAGTGATTTAATGTGATTATAAATTTAAAATTAATTTCCTAAAAATCCCCTTGTCTTTCCTTTTTTTACATCATATACAAATGTGAGTTTTTACTCCATAATGATTCTAGATCTTTAGGATGTTAAACACACTGAGGTCTTTAGACATAATAATTACGAAGATTTAGACATAATAATTACAACGATTTAGACATTATAATTACTACGATTAATTTCTTTTAAACTGGAACACATGTCACGCTGTAAACGTTGCAGTTAAAAGGTAAAGGTAAACATATACTGTCACCTAGTAAATTCAAAATTTGAATTCTGTTTTTTTTTTTAAATAGTTGACCATTTCGTAAAATAACCTAGTATACAAATTAAGATACTAGTACATTAACCAAATCCCCTGCCGATATAATTCGGTGAATTTATGATTTAGGAAATGACACATATTCGCTGAATCTTCCTCAATGATAAACGAGCATTAATTAATCTTTAAGTTACACGCTTCGTCAAGATGATTTCTTTCAAGTTGTAAACCATATAATCGCAGAAAAGGTCACTACATTATTTCTTATGTTAATATTAAGAACAAATACAGAATATAAATACTGTAACTACAATTAATCTGAAAAAAAAACACAGACCCGTTTTACTTATATGCCCATTTTTTTCTTTCTTTTTCAGAGATATGAAGCGATCTAAAAGTTCCTCCCCAAGAAACAGCTTCACACTGAGACATTCAAGCTCAACCTGGAGTATAATATCTTCAAAACGCAAAAGAAAAGGGTCGCCACCATTAACACGACAAGTGTCTTCATCAGACACTGTTTTGGCAGATATCAACAAACTCGATTCCAAGGGAAGGAGCTTGCTCTTCCTTGCTGCCAGATGTGACCAGCCGGAAGTCGCCGTCCAGCTTTTGGCGGCAGGATGTGATGCCAATCTAGCTGACAGCGAGGGCAATACACCACTGCACGAGGCTGCAGATTGTGGGCATCTGGAAGTTGTCCAAATTCTGATCAAGAATGGTACGATAATATTCCTTACTAAAAGAAAGATTACATAATTTCTCTGTTTTGTGTCGAACATGTCAAAGTTGACATATTTCTCAAGATTTGGAAAATGGAATAAATATATTACATGTAACTTGTATTCAATAGTTCAGCTTAGAATCCATAAAAAAGACAACAAAACAGAAGAAATAACTAGATTTTTACAATCTAACTTCAGTTGGTTATGTAAATCTGAAATGTATTTTGCAGGACAGTGTGACTTAGACGCAAGGAACGTTTTTGGCCAGACTCCACTCATGCGTGCAGTGTTTAATGAAAATCTGGAGGTCGTCAAGCTGCTCGTAAAAGCAGGTGTTTAGTCATAAACTATTATGCATGTCTACAGCCCAATATTTCCTGCTAAGACACCAACATGCAGCATATTCATGAATCTAAATAACACAAATAGAATTATATTAATTTCTGGGGAACAATAAATTTATGATTTATTTCCTTTTTCCAGCTTTTTTGTTAAAGATTTTTTTTTTTTGATTTAGGGACATTGATAGTAAGATACGTTTTATGAGTGAGGAAGCATAAACCTGTCCTATTTGACATGCGTAACCATTTTGTCCTCTGATTTACAGGGTCAGACCTTCACGTTTTGGATCACCTCGGGAAGTCCTCGCTGATGATTGGATTACAGGAGGGGGCAGAGAAATCATGCCTCTACCTCATCAAAGCAGGCAGTGACGTCAATATTACCGACCGCGAAGGCCATTCAGTTCTATTTTACGCTGTTCATTCGTCATACCTTCATACATTAGATGTGGCCAAAAAGCTAACTAAAGCTGGTAAGAACCTCATCTGCCTAAATTTATATCTATATGAAGGTCAAAACATCGTTTAATGCCCATGCCTGTTGCGATTTCACTTGTGTTATTGGTAATTAAATGAATCGAAGTAAATGAAATATGAATTATTCAGACAAATACTTTATTTCCTTGTTTTGTTTACATGTTATTATTTTCTTTCTAGGCTGTGATATCATGAAAAATGCCTCATGGTTATTGGAAAGTAAAAGTGATGAGAACTGTCTTCTACTACAGGATCCTAAATTCCACTCTTTGCTTTTATCTAAAGTTGAACCCAAAGAAAAGCAAAAGAAACATGACTTGATTTCTTCTTTAAAAATTACATTCCAAGGACGTTCACATAGAGAACAGAATAAGGATACCCGTAGTGCGACATTGTAGTATCATTTTTCACATCATTTCACCTCCAAAAACATGAAAAGAAGGAAAGAAAGAAAAAACAAGTCCGTGCATGTTTTGATTTCGATTTGCATGGACTTGTTTACTTCATAGAGTGCTATTCTAACGATTTATGCTTGTGTAAATTTAATGATTTCATATAATAAAAACTTGAAAAGCCTTGAAATTTAATATTCTATTTATTCAATATAAAAAAGAACTTGCATATATGTAAAATAAAATGACTAGCAAGATGATGTAAGGTATATCAAAAAACCTTTTACTGACAAATTCATGTTCCAGAGTGGCTTTCATATCTATGGATTATGGCCAAGGAAAAAACATTGCCAGCAATTAGATTTATATGACAAATTCATCTTATATTTAATACGCTTAAATTGTCCGTTAATTTTAGATCTCCATAGTGGAGACATTATCTGTGCTTAATGGTTGGTGTATGTGGTCTCTTTCCTGACAATTATATACATGATAATCTAAGCATAAAATAGTGTAATTCCATGTGCGTCTCAAGTTACCTTTTGTATGATTTAAAATCGCTTGAAAATTTGCATCTTTCTTGTACGTTAGACCACTTCTCGAATACGTTACATAATGTATCCGGCAATTTTGTTAATGAAGTTAACCAAATTATATCGAAGCTATTCGGACTCGTTTAGTAATCTGTTCTACGAAACTTGCAAGTCTACAGTCTCTATTAAGAGACATGGTGGGGGGAGGGGGGTTAAAGGAAAGAAATGATACAAATTCGCACGATGGTTTATGGTCAGACCCCTCAATATCTGAGAAATCGTCTCCCACCTCGAAACCAAGACATACACAATCATTCCACTGGACAAAAGTGTTACATTTATCAAGTCAAATGTAGAACTGTAGGCCTTTCAAAAAAAAAAAACAAAACCAAACCAAAAAAAAAAAAACAAAACAAAACAAAACAAAACAAAACTTACGACTAAGATTAAAACCTTACAACCATGTAATTTGTCAGTTAAAAAAATATATGATTTTTTTTTATATAGGATTTTTCACAATGCATTCTCAATGCATTCTAGTGAAATAGATATAAGTTTTTTTTTAATTGACTTGCCATACCCTGACCATGGATACTTATAAGAGATTTGGAAAGTTTTGGTCTTAGCTTATAGTCGTTATTTATTTTGTGAAAAAGTGTACTATCAGATCTTTACCTTTACTCCTCCTTCTCATCAACTATCAAACTTTGGAACAAATTCTCTGATGTTATCAAACAAAATCCATCACTATCAAATTTAAAACGTTATATAACTGTTGATTATGAAAATCGAAAACCCTAAGCTGTAGCGCACTGAACTATTCATTTTCCAGAAATTTTGCAAATAGTCCTAGGTCTAATTGTGGCAAGGTTTAACCCTCGGAAAATTTTCTTCTTCATTGTCAATATTTTGAGAGCACAGGAAATAAATTTATTTTCACTTTTCCTCATTTCATTAACACGCTCCATGGGTATTTTGTATTCTTTAATTGTATGTTGCAAGCGCCATGTTTTCTTTTTATTAAACGACAGTCACTATTAATATATTTCAGTAACTAGTTTACTGTATTTTTATTAAAGTTTGTAATAATTATTGTATTACTTGTTCTTATGCTTTTTATGTAACTATATAATATAAACTAATGTACTGTGAAGCTTATGGAATGTCTGTCCCATATTGAAATCAGGCTTTAAAAAAATCACCAAATTTTAAAATAATCATGAATAGGGATAAATGACCCTTAAATCTTTCCGTATGTAATATAAAACATACACATTGCATACGATTGGATTGATAAAATACAATTTTGTAGTTGTAATCTCATTTGAAATTGGAAATCAAATGAACATTTTCGCTGCGATTTTGTCTGCAAACATAAGTCCCCCTCCCCCACCCCAGCTTCACCTTCAGCGTGAACAGCAAAAGTTTTGGTATGAAATAAAAATGAGTATTTTCATAGCGTTTTTCGTCTGTAAACATACCACCACCCCCGGCCCGTAAACAACAAAAGCTTTGGTATAAATTTGTTATTCAAGCATGTATTACCAGTAATTTTTTTCACCGGGGTGGGTGGGTGATGTTTTAAATTAAATAATATTTTCCGTTTTCCATTGAAGCACAAGTTTTATCAAAACTATAGAGTTATTTCTTTTTGTTTTTCTATTTATTTTCTGTAAAAATTCATATGAATATCTATTCACTTATGAAAAATCAATCAAATATGTTAACTTTTATAATTGACTTAGTACGGAAGCCCATTAATGCCCATCTGTATATTTAAAGGAAAAGCAATATATAAAAGCAATCCTCAATATATAAATGAAATGCGAAATAAACAAAACCTTGATATATATAAAGGAAATGCGAAATATATAAACAAAACCTCGATATATATATAAATGTATGACAGAAAGAAATGGAAAGGGAGCATAGATGATTAGAACAAAGGGTTCAATTTTGATTAGAATAAATTTTTCAATTTTGTTCGAAGTACATGTATAGGGTAAGTTTTGCCAGATGTTAAACTCATTTATTAGTCCCCTACCGATGAAACCGGAGGGGACTATAGAATTCCTCTGAGTCTGTCCGTCTGTCTGTCTGTCCCACTTGGTTTTCCGCACTTTTTCCCCAAACGCTTGCAGATATTGAGCTGATTTTTAATATGTGAGTGTATCTTGATGAGTTACAGATCATGTTTGCATTTCGCTCCGGTTCATTGATTTTTGACGGAATTACGATCTTTTCAATTTTTAAGTGTTTTCCGCAATTTTTTTTCTAAACGCTTGCAGATATTGAGCTGATTTTTTGTTATGTGACTCTACCTTGATTAGTTATAGATTAAGTTTGCATTTCCTTCCGTTTCAATGATTTTTGGCGGAATTATGGCATTTTCAGTTTATTACGGGAGCCAGATTACACTTGCCGGTAGGGAACTAGTATAGCTAATGCAATACTCACAGAATGCTTGTTTTATTACAATCCTTGGCTGTGTATTTTAATGAATTAAAAAAAAAAAAAAGGAAGTCATTCAGAAAACTATGGGTAGAGAAATTAAGATTTTGACAACGAACTCAGAGACTGTGCATGTATTGCTTGATAGACATACTAGGCAAAATATTTAAATATTTTGATGACACTGTATCTCTTCTGTTTCCAAGTAAACTTTTAGAATCTAAATTTAGTAAAATGTCTCTTGAGTGACCAAATCTAGAAATTGCTTAACAACTTGACATTGCCAAATTAGATGATATTAATATTGTTGCTTCCTCTGCTTCACAGACTGTACAAAGATTAGAGTCTAGTTTACCTACATGTATTTTATACAAACCACTATTTGTAGTGTATATCTAATGATCGATTCTATATTGAAGCCATTGTAATTTACTGTTTTGGGTTGCTAGAAAAGGTATAGGTAATAAATTTTCCATTGTGTATGTGTTAAGTTGAAAAAAAAAATTGCTAATTTTCCCACACCGACAGGTTGTATTACTAATTTATTAAGCATAGTATACATAAACTTTGATCCTTTTTTGTCAACACAAAAACTTTAAAATTGCATGTAATTGTTGGTGTATGAGTGAACCCATTTCCACAAAAGTTATACTTTTTTAAGTCGTGCTTGTCGTACATGTATGCCTGTATAAGTTACATAGTTAATTCGAATATCGAAATTCTGTTGAAGAGTGCCTAAACATAAGAAGTTACTACATGTATTTTCATCAAAAAGAATAGAATTATGTATATTTTATTCCCTTTATGTAGAAGGACTTATAAAATATTGTTTGATTATCAATTTTGAAATTGTTATATCATAGGTGTTGGCAAGCATATTCCTGCCAATTTCTTATCTCTATTTTCTCTTGAATTTCCTGGAAAGCTTTCAAAACATCTCTCCAAAAATTGTTTTACACATTCTCCGATGAATGTGACACATTATCTGATCCTGTATTAAAACGCTCATCCATGTCAACACTATTTTCAAATAAAAAATTTCCACTTTAATTTATTGGTATGAAATGTTGTTCTTTTCTACATGTATGTTGACTTTAAAGCTGTTTTGTAAGAAGCAATATCAACCATTTTTAATCCTTCTTGTGCATACTTCTGAGTTACAACTTTTCCTTTTATTTGTCACATTTGATTTCGTTTTGATCTTTCATAATTTTGAACGAATGATATAATTGCAGACAGTTTATGCTTTTTTGTCCAGACGAAGCTGAAAAGAAATTTAAAAGTTACATTTACTCAGATTGATTGAGCTAAGTTTCCAGGCCCCCCTCTCCTCCTGGGGCATGCTATATGTACTTGAAAAAACACGGGAGAAGCAAAAAGATATTCCCTTCCGATATACGGAAGGAAAGGGTTACTAGTTGACTTACATTACCAGTTTGGATGCTAAGAGTAAAAGAAAAATATAAATACAATTTATTTTTTCTTTCATTTGCAGTCTAGATTATTAATAACTAATTTTAATACAAATTAAATCAAGCAAAATTTCAAATTAAATATATTTATCTATCGCACATTTTTCTTATCTAAGTATCTATTTTCATGCATATCCTAAAAGATAATAAAAAAAATTTTAAGAAAAAACCTTTCCAGTATTCTAGACAAAGTGTTTTTTCATGTGATTTATGGCGTACCGTAAATGAAACCAAATTTTGTTTTTATCTTTCCTGATGTCCTTACACTTATTTAATTTTAGTTTGAAATTGCAAATGAATTCAGTTAAAATACTAAGCAGCATGTATTCATTAGCAGTTTACAAATTAGGAAACAAGTAGAAGGCATGGTCTCACGATTTTTGATGCCAGAAAAAGTCATGACACATTTGCACAATTTTAAACATATCTATGTGTAATTGTACTTTAATTATGAAATTCTTATTAATAATTATATGAATATTTCACTAATTATTTCGAACTATTACTTTATTAGTTTTACATACTGATAAAAAAAGTAATGGAACTTCCAATATGCAACTTTATACAGTCCAGTAGCAAAGGTTTGAAACCTCCAACCTCCCTGACAAAAAAAAGTGTTAAAACTTAAAAATCATATATAGTTGGGGGAGCAAAAAGTGTGGGGGAGGGGCAACAAGCATTTAAATGAAAAATTACATACTGAAGACGATATTCAGAAAAAAAGTGGGGGGACA